TTCCCAGCCCTCTTGAGTAGCTTTGCTTACAGGCATGCGCTACCAACACTCCCAAACAACCCCCATTTTATACATGAGGAAATGGAATAGGCCACAGTTGGGCGCTCTATAGGTACCAGGAAGTTGTTGTGTCTGTATTGAGGACCAGAGGGGCCCCCCCCGGGGTGCGGTTGTAGGATGGACTTCTGGGCCCCTGGAAGCCCTGAGTCATGACTGGGTCTTTGACAGGTTTGGAGCGACGATTGCCATTGGCCTGACCATCTTGGTGCTGTTTGTGGTCACCATTATTGTCTGCTTCACCTGCTCCTGCTGCTGTTTGTATAAGATGTGTCGGCGACCCCGTCGTAAGTAACCCCCCCTCCTCCCCCAAACCCCACTTCTGGTCCTAGTTTGTGCCTCCTTTATGTGCAGGTAACTCCCTCCCCCACTATACACCTAGACCTGGACACTGCCCCGGAGTTGCTTTTGCTCAAGGCTTAGCGCTCTGGTACCACCTGAGACACAGCACCACTTCTGGCTTTTTTCTGTGATTCATTGGAGAGAAGAGTCTCTTGGAACTTTCCTGCCTGGGCTGGCTGTAAACTGTGATTGCTCTTCAGCTAAGCCTCCTGAGTAGCTGGGATTATAGGCATACGTCACTAGAGCTGGTCTACGAGCGGGTCTTGATTGGAATTCTTTCTCCACAGCCATCGTCACTACCACCACGGCAACCACGGTGGTGCATGCTCCGTACCCTCAGCCCCCAAACGTGCCTCCTAGCTATCCAGGACCCACATACCAAGGCTACCAGCCTATGCCACCCCAGCCAACAGCACCTTACCCAGCACAGTATCCACCCCCCTACCCAGCCCAGCCTATGGGCCCACCGGCCTACCACGAGACCTTGGCTGGTAAGTACTTCTGTGAATCTATGGTGCCCCTCTCCCCTTGCTGACCCTCATCCCCTCATGCCTCTGCCTGCCCTGTCCCTCAGGGAATCCATCTTATGGTACCTCATTGAATAAGCCTCTGCCCTCTTCTGCTAGCCCGCCCACCCTGCCCTCCACCAATCAGTGTTCTCTCTGCTTTCAGGAGGTGCGGCCGTGCCCTATCCTACCAGCCAGCCTCCTTACAACCCAGCCTACATGGACCCCCCAAAGGCAGCCCCCTGATCATACCCCTCCCGTTTCTGGCTGCCACTCAATTACCATCATGCTGCGCAGGTGTATGTGTGTGAGTGCATGGTATACGCAGGTTCCCCATTGGCCTGTGTGAGATGTGAGCCCTGTCTAGATTGGTGGCTTCTTCTGATGCTCACTAGGTGCGGACCAATCCTTGCCCGAATAGGGCGGGACCAAACTTTTTATTTTTTTTATTGTTATTTTTTTTCTTCTTTTCTACTTGAAAATGAATGCTTTCCTGCAATCACAAGCAAAATCAGAGATTGGGGGGTACTGGAAGGTATTTTTGAACTCACCCCAGAGTGCCCAGGATAGCACACTTTTCTTTTTGTGAATACTTTTGCACACATCCTGGTTTGAAGAGTGGCCTGTTGCTACTTGAGGCCCATATTCCGCCCCCCCCCCTTCCCCAGGATTTGGGGTGCTCTTTGTTAAATCTGAGCCATGAGGCAGGCAGGTAGGGAAAGTTGAAGCTCAATGCTTTAGGCAAATGTCCTCCTATACACAAAAGCCTGGATCATGCTTAAATGGGGGTCAGCTAGTTCCTTATGGCAAAAACCTCCGGCCAGGGGTCCACCCAACCCAGATGGCTGTCTCTTTGGATTGTCCCTGTGACCTCTCTGGGTCATAGTCCTGGCCACAGGGAAGTTTGCTTGCCTGACCTCTGCTATAGGTGGGCAATAGGAGGAGCTATAACCACTAACACACTCAGCTTTCTACCCTGCAGTGTTGTTTTTACTTTTAGCCAAACATTTTTGCCTGGTTTTTGTTGTTGTTTTTTGCTCCTTTTTTGGTCGTGGGGCTTGAACTCTGGGCCTGGGCGCTGTCCCTCAGCTCTTCAGCTCAAGGTGAGCGCTCTACCACTTGAGCCACAGCACCCCTTCTGGTTTTCTAGTGATTTCATTGAAGAGAAGAGTCTCAAGGACTTTCTTGCCTGGGCTGGATGCTCAGATCTCAGCCTCCTGAGTAGCTAGGATGACAGGTGTGAGCCACCAGTGTCTGGCCTTGTTTTCTGTTTTTAAAATGTGTGGATCACTGGGCTGGGAAGGTGGCTTCGTGGTAGAGTGCTTGCCTAGCATGCAGGAAGCCCTGGGTTCCATTCCTCAGTACCACATACACAGAAAAGGCCAGAAGTGCGGCTGTGGCTCTAGTGGTAGTGTGTCAGGCTTGAGCACAAAAGTTCAGGGACAACACCTAAACCCTGAGTTCAAGCCCCAAGCCTGACACAAAACAAAGCATCCAACTCCTGTCTTACAGCCTAGAGATTGTCCTGGCAGTAGGGACACCAGAGTTCAAGGACTGTCTTTACTCTAGGCAGGGGTGCAGGGCCTGGGTAGAAGCTCTGACCCAGGCACCATGAATACCTCGGTGATTCCTGTCCTGAAAAATGTCTCACCAGCTGCCTTAGCTTGGTATGGTTCGTGTGTTTCCGACAGTCTAGATTCTTGCATCCTGGTTTATAAATAAACGCAATCGTTTTTGGAACTGCTGTCCCTTTTCTTCAGAGCCCTGGCTGCAGGGTCGGGGCCTTCGGCTGAGTAGTTTGCATGTGGATGGTTTGGATTTCTTGGCTTTTCTGCTCGTCTTGGGCTGAGAGCTTTGCTCTTCCGCTTGCAGAGCGAGAAGAGATGATAAATACTGTGAAAAACCTAAGACCCCCTGGAGCTGGGAAGGTGGCTTAGTGGTAAAGTACTCGCCCAGCATGCATGAAGCCCCGGGTTCGATCCCTCTATCAAATACACAGAAATAAGCCAGATGTGGCATTGTGGCCTCAAGTGGTAAGGGTGCTAGCCTTGAGTGAAAGTAACTCGGGGACAATGCCCAGGCCCTGAGTTCAAGCCCCAGCACTGGCAAAAGCCAAACCAAACCCAAAACCCTGAATAGGAGAGTGTGTAGTGGGGTAAAGGCCCAGACTAGGAGGAAAGGCAAGTAGACTATTCAGTGCTGTTTTGAGAGTCTCTTTTTATTCATCAGCTTTTTCTTCTTCCCTATTGCTCTGGAATGGCTCGGGTGAGCCCATACAGTGTGGCCACTGCCAAGGTCAAGAAGGCTAACAGGCCCAGGGGAACCAACAGTCCCTCTTCCAATGTGTCTCCAGAGACCTTGATTGGAGGAAGAACTTTGGGTCTCTTATTCCTGCTAGGGCTGATGTTGCCGGTTTTGGCCAGTGGCTCAGTGGCTGATCTAGCAGATTGACTTAGCTGAATCTCATACATGGGCTTGATGGTGCCGAAGGGTCTCGAGTGAGTATCCACCCATTGCAGCAGGGCCTGTGGCTTCCACTGGCAGATACTAAGCAGGGTTAGCACATCGCCCTCCGCCATGTGGGAGTCTGCCGGGGCCTGTCCATACAGGCGGGTGTAGATGCTGCCCAGGCTGTAACTCTTCCTGGGGCCACGCTCTGCGGGGCTGCTAGCTTGTTCCAAGGCCTTCATGGCAGCCATACTGTCCACACAGAAAGCACCGTCTAGAGCATCAGCCACGCCCAGCATAGCCAGCTCTGCTTGGAGTAGAGGAAAGTCATAGCGATCACCATTGTGCGCCACAAAGCACCAGGGCTGTGGCTGGCGCCGCAGGAAAGCTAGCAGCAAGGTGGCCAGGTTGTCATCGAAGCGCTGTCGTCCGTGTGCTGCCAGATCAGCTGTGGTCAGGCCGGTGATCTCACTGGCACCTGGACTACAGGCCTTTCCTGGAGCCACACACAGGGAGAGTTTGTCCACCACGCGGGGGAACGGGGGTGGCTGTCCCCTGGAAGTAGGGGTGCTCTCCAGGGCCCTTCTGTGGACAGCCAGCATGCACAGCTCTGTGATCTTGGGCTGGGAGAAGGGCAGGCCAGTAGCTTCCAGGTCTAAGAAGATGAGGGTCTGCATGGGGCCAGGGCGGGAAGCCTGCCTGTCCATGATGAACCTAGGGCATGAGTGGTGGGGAGGGGGTGTGAACATGAATGCCAATGGGATGATCAAAAGCAGGGACCGGGAATGTGGCTTAGCTGGGAGAGTGTTTGTCTCGCATGCATGAAGACCTGGGTTCGATTCCTTAGTACCATCTATGTAGCAAAAGCCGGACCCCAAGCTCCTGTGCCCAGGCTAAGGACAGGAAGTGGGAGAAGAGTGGGGGCAGTTTTCATAAAGGGACAAGCATTCTCCCATGGGGGGGGGCCCCTCCCCTAGTGCCCACCGAGACCAGGGTAGGGGAGCCCATGGTCTTTCTGTCCTGCTCTACTTCTCAGGGGTGTTCCAACTTACCCAAGTAGGCCAGATGGCAATGACTGGAGCCACTCCGGCGTCGTCCCTCTACTGACAGCAGTGGCAGGAAATGAAACTGACTGATGCGTCTACTGGCCAGCCTCTCCAGCAAGGCCCCGCCCTCCTGCCCGGATGCCCCTCCCTCCCCTCCCTTCTGCCGCGTGGGGGCTCTGCGGCCTGTGGGAGTCCATGGGGGAGATGGGAATTTGTTTCACGAGAGACAGGGGGCTGCTAGGTGCTTTTGATGGTGTTGAGTTCCTGGCTTTCAGGTTTTGAGGCTGAAGGCTGGCTCATTCCTCGCCTCCAGCACAAAGCTTTCTTCCCAGTGGCTCCAACCCAAAGTTATGACTCAGGACAATTCCAGAGGCAGGGCAGGGCTAGCCTTCCGGGGCTGATCAGTTGCTATGGTGACAGATTTAGCTCAGCCAAGAGAAGTTGGGGGGGGGGGGGGGGAGTGGCACTCAGGCCTAAGGGGGATCTCATCCTGTTCTATTCCTTCCGGGTCGGCCCAAACAGATCAGACTGAGACAAGGCTGGGTTTACAGCAGGAATTGGTCACAGCTTTTAATAGGGAAGGGGTGGGGGGTGGGGGGGAGGGGGAGGGCAGGGAGGAAGTGAAGAGAGCCAAGGCATTGGTGCCCCCGTGTGGCTGGATGCACGGGGCCTCAGGCACAATCCATCTCCGTGTCCTCCATGTCTGCCTCAGTAGCACAGAGGTCATCCAGGGCTGCCTCTGAGTGGGGGGGGAAAAAGGGGGGGGACCCAAAGGTGCTGGAGCCTAGAGGAAGTCCCACCTCGCCGCCCCCAGCACCCACAGGAAGTGACTAGTCCCATGTCCAGGCCTGGCTCCCTCAGCTACTTCCTGCGAGCAAAGTCATCACAAAAGCACTGCAGATCCAGATGTTTCTAGAAAACCCGTGGCTCCGCCAGGCCAACTCAATAGACAGGACTGGACGGCAGCCCAGTGTGTTCAGAGAGGAACCTGAGTAGAATGATCGTGTCCCCATGATCGTGACCCTGGTGGCAGGGCGATGCTAAGGTCCGGAAGTCTAACTGGCTCTGCACTTTGGTGGCAGCAAGGGGGCATCCCTGGCTGGCTTTACCTTCACAGTCGGTGACATCCGGAAGGGCTCGGATAAGCGTGCTGACCCCTGGCATCACTTGGTCATACTGATGCAGGACCTCCACGCAGTGCACAGAAAACAGCTTGTCCTTCTGGGACACGCTGTGTAGCAGCAACACAGCGTCCCGGAGACAGCGCACGGTCCGCTTCTGCTGGTTAGTCTTGAAGGCTGCCCCCGCCCTCCGCACGGTCAGCCACTGTTGGTGCAGCACCACCGTCAGAGCTCTGACCACCTGCGGGGGACACGACATGGTGGCTCATCGGGGGGCCCCCTTGGGCACCCACAGCACTGCCACTATGGGGGTCTGTGGCTACTTACCTCCACACTGCATTGACAGTCAGACCCAGTGAAAGGGGAGCAAGAGGTCTGCATACCCAGCTTGGCCAAGAGCCAGACTGTCTGGAAGAACAGATCATGTTTGATCAAACTCAGTATTTTCTCAGGCTTTCTGCACCAATAGGGGCCCGAGAAGTGGTCACGTGACTCGGAACCAGCCCAAACCTTACTTATAACATCCACCTCCAGCCATGAGGGACCCTCCCGCGCCCTCTCCCCCCCCCCCAAAAAAAAAGCCAGGGCAGAACTAGATGTCCAATGCTAAGTCACAAGACAATCTTGGACTTGCATCTGTGGGGGGGGACCCCCCCACCCCAACTTTCAGCTCTGTAGCTGCTTGGTAAATTCGTATTAGTCTCCTCCCAGCCCCATTCTCCTCCAGAGAGAGAAGAGAAAGACGCGTTCTCCATAAACAGTATACAAGTATCTTGAATGTCTTGGATTTGGGTTTGTGCCAGACCTTGGGTTTGAACTTAGAATCTGGCTGCTGGCCCTGAGTTTTTTTTTTCCTACAAGGCTAGCACTCTAGAACTTAAGCCATACCTTCATTGCTGTTTTTTGTTTGTTTTTGGTGATAAGTCTCACACTTTCTTGCCCAGGGTAACTACCAACTGTGATCCTCCCAGCACAGCCTCTTGAGTAGCTAGAATTACAGGTGTGAACATCTGGACCTCACTATTGGATATTTTTACTTTTTTTTTTTTTTTAAACCAGTACTGGGGCTTGAACTCAGGGCCTGGGCACTGTCCCTGAGCTTCTTTTTGCTCCAGGCTAGCTCTTTAGCACCACTAACAGCTTTTTCTGTTTTTGTGGTACTGAGGAATCGAACCCAGGGCTTCATGCATGCTAGGCAAGCACTCTACCACTAAGCCACCTTCCCAGCCCCTATTTTTACCTCTTGTTCCAACTGAAGCCACTGTGTCTGTGAGGCAGCTTTGTCAGGCTTTGAGGTAATGTATGAGTACAGTAGCAGTAGAAGACAGCGTTCTGAAAAGGACACCACCCCCGTCAAGCAGCGTCCCTCTTCCAATCCAAAGCTTTGGGGTATAAGCTGCAGAAGCCCTGGGGAAGCTCTGAACCAGGTCCTGCTCCAGCCCTTTCCTCCCTCCCTCAGAAGAAACAGTCAAGAGGCCCAGATGATGATGATGATGATGATTAGCCAGTCCTGGGGCTTGAACTCAGGGCCTAGGCACTGTCCCTGAACTTCTTTTGCTCAAGGCTAGCACCACTTCCAGCCTTTGCTGTGGATGTGGTACTAGGGCTTCATGTATGCTAGGCGAGCACTCTACCACTACGCTACATTCCCAGCAGATTATATTACCAGAATGGGAACAGAACTGTTGCACGAGGCCGTCACTGTCTGCAATCTGGGCGAGCAGCTCAACGGCCAGCAGCACACAAGGCAAAGGCGTCTGGGGGCTGAGGCAGGGTGGCAGCACTGCTAACACACATTGTAATCTGAAAGAGGCAAGAGAGGAGACAATCCCCAGATGGAGAGATTTGGCTCAGTCAGACCTGGGTTCAAATGCTGCTCTGATCACTGCCTGAAGCAATCTTGGGAATACGTGAACGATGGCTGAGGTTTAAGAGATAACAAGACCCTCATTAGATCCTGCCACCATTGCAAAATAAGGTAACCTACCTATTTTTTTTTTGGGGGGGGGGAGGGGGCGTGAACTCAGGACCTGGGCAGTATCTCTGAATTCCCCCCCCCCCTTTTTCCTCTACCTAGAACTCTACTATTTGAACCACAGCTCCACTTTTGCTTTTTAGTACTTTACTGAAAGTATGTCAAATGGATGGACTTTCCTGCTGGGACTGGCCTCAAACTAGGATCCTCAGATCTCAGCCTCCTGAGTAGCTAGGATGACAGATGTGAGCCACCAGCACCAGTTAAGACCTTCTTTTTAAGTAAATTTTATGGGTCGGTCCCAAATAGAAAGTAAATGAATTCTAAATTATACTGCAGTGAATGCTGGTGATGAGGTAATATTGGCTCAAAAAAGCCCTCACCATGCTTAGATCTTCAAGGCCACACAGTAGGTCTACAGTTGGGCTGGTCAAAAGAGTCATAATCAGGCTGGGAAGGTGGCTCAGTGGTAGAGCGCTTGCCTTGCATGCCTGAGGCCCTGGGTTCGATTCCTCAGCTCCACATAAGCAAAAAGAAAAAAGCTGGAAGTGGCGCTGTGGCTCAAGTGGTAGAGCGCTAGCCTTGAGCTGAAGAGCTGAGGGACAGCGCCCAGGCCCACAGTTCAGGCCCCACGACCAGACCCCCCCCCAAAAAAAAAGAGTCATAATCTCTGCATTCAGGAGAAGAAACAGGAGGATCCCCAAGTTTAAGACCAACCTGAGCTACATTGTGAGACCCTACTCAAAAAAACCAAACCAAACTCTGGGTGGGCAGAAGAGATAGCAAGCTACTTTGACACACACACACACATATGACATACACACACACACACACACACACATATACATACACGTTTTTTTGGGGGGGGGGGGGTTGATTTGTTTTGTTTTGCCAGTCCTGGGGCTTGAACTCAGGGCCTGGGCGCTGTGCCTAAGCTGCTTTTGCTCAAGGCTAGCACTTTACCATTTGAGCCACAACACCACTTCCGGCTTTTTCTGTGTATGTGGTACTGAGGAATTGAACCCAGGGCTTCATGCGTGCTGGGCAAACACTCTAGCACTATGCCACATTCCCAGCCCTCTAATACCTTTTATAAGTTATATAATTATTACGATTATTAATACCCAGGCATTATACCGCAAGGGATCAGGAGGATGCACAGGGAACCATGTCTAATCCCTGCCTCTTATGCTACTTTGTACCTGGGTAAGCAATCAGAGGAAGCGTTTTCGGCTAATTTCGCCAAAACCTTGAGACACTTGCTCAGGACATTGACTTGCAAGGAGCCTGCTGGTGTGGAGGAGAAGGTCACCAGGTGTAGAAGGATCTTCAAGAGTGGGTGCTGTCCTGAGTGGTCGGCTGACCCCCTGGGGGCTGAGGTCATATCTGCACAGCTCAGTCTGTGAACCCAACTCCCGTTTCCTTCCCCCATTCCTGAGAGTAACAGGCAGACGACGGCGCGGCTGTGGCACACGAGATGGTGGAGGATGCTCAGGGAGGCCACACACAAGCCTTCCACGCTGCACATCAAGTCCTCGGGGCTGGCCTCTCCACCCGAACTCCTTGCACAAGGGGCACGTGTGGGAGAATCTCCAGGCACCCTGCTCCTCCTAGCCGCTGCTACGTCCTGCAGTGCCTGGCAGTGCAAAGTGAGGAAGAAATGCACCAGGGGCAGGAGGTAGATGGCGCCTGGCAGTTGGCAGAGTGGAAAGGTCCTTTGGCTTTCCTCAGCTGAGCTGTCATCTGGGGAGTCTTCGTTTCTGGCAATTAGATTCAATCCAGCGAAGGCTAGACTCTGGGCCTCTCTCAGGATAGAGGGGGAAAAGGACCCACTGGGGCCCCCAGGGGTCCTGAGGCCTGAGATCCTGGCCAGGGTACTGGTAATGAAAGAAAACAGAAAAAGGTCAAAGGCTGGCTGGGCAGGTGGCTCGATGGTAGAGTGCTTGCTTTAGCATGCATGAAGCCCTGGGTTCGATTCCTCAGTCACAGAAAAAGCTGGAAGTGGTGCTGTGGCTCAAGTGGGAGAGTGAGCAAAAAGCAGCTCAGGGACAGTGTGCAGGCCCTGAGTTCAAGCCCCAGGACTGGCCAAAAAAAAAAAAAAAAGGTCAAAATCTCCAAACTGCCTGCCTGGCAAATTCTCCATTCACCTTTCACTCACTCCCTTCACTGCCCAACAGGTTAGGGAAATTAACCAGGAAACTCCTTCCCAAACAAGCATTGATTGATTGGTTGGTTGGTTGATTGAATGTGCACATGCTGGGGCTTGAACTCAGGGCCTGGGCGCTGTCCCTGAGCTTTTGTGCTCAAGGCTAGTGCTATACCACTTGAGTCACTATGCCACTTCCGGCTTTTTCTGTGTATGTGGTGCTGAGGAATCGAACCCAGCGCTTCATGGCTTCATGCATGCTAGGCACGTACTCTACCACTAAGCCAACTTCCCAGCCCCTAGACAAGCGTTTCTGGAGTCTGTCTTATGCTTACTTGCCAAGCCCTGGTGGCTTCATGAAGGTGCCAGCAGGAGTCTCCGAACAACTGCTCAACAGGTAGCAAAGACCTAAGGAGGATCCTGGGACCAAAGGCTGCTTCAGGAGCAGGTTTATCAAAATGGAACCTGCAGAAAACAAGGTGATTCTAGAAGGTTCTGACACAGGAGATCTTTTCATTTTTCCCCTAGTTTTTGATTTATTTTTTTTTTTTTTGAGACAGGGTCCTGTTATGTATCCCAGACTGGCCTTGATCTTATTTGTAACCCTGGCTGGTCTTGAACTTGAGATCCTGCTGCCTTAGCCTCCTGAGTGCTGGGATTACAGATATGCACCACTATATCTGTCTAAAGAAACTTTTTCTTTCTTTCTTTTTTTTTTTTTTTCTCGGTTGTGAGGTCTGAACTCTGGGCCTGGGCACTGTCCCTCAGCTCTTCAGCTCAAGGCGAGCGCTCTACCACTTGAGCCACAGCGCCACTTCTGGCTTTTTCTGCTTATTTGGTGCTGAGGAATCGAACTCAGGGCCTCATGCATGCAAGGCAAGCACTCTACCACTGAGCCACCTTCCCAGCCCCACAGCACTAATTCTGATTGTTCATTGGAGAGAAGTCTCATGGACTTTCCTGCCCAGGCTGGCTTTGAACCATGATGCTCAGATCTCAGCCTCCTGAGTAGCTAGAATTACAGGTGTGAACCACTGGCACCCGGCTTAAGGAGACCTTTTCTACAGTCTCAGAAGGAAAAAAAGTGTAGGTTCTTCAGATGGCAGCTGTTTCCTAAGCTACTACTAAGTAGTAGCTTAGGTTAAGATGTCTAGGGTTGCAAAAGCTCTAGGATCTACCCTTGTATGTATATGTGTGTGTATGTCAGTATAGGGACTTGAACTCAGGGCCCGGAGACTGTCCCTTAGCTTTTTCACTCAAGGCTGGAGCTCTACCACTTAAGCCACAACCATACTTTCAGCTTTTTGGGTTGTTAACTGGAGATAAGAATGTCACTGACTTTCCAAAATCTCAGCCTCCTGAGTAAGCTACAATTACAGGCATGAGCCACTGGAACCTTACTTCCTTTTTAAATTAGGTACTTTTTTTTTTTTTTTTTTTAAATGGCCAGTCCTGGGGCATGATGAACTCAGGGCCTGGACACTGTCCCTGAGCTTCTTTTGCTCAGGACTGGCACTCTACCATTTGAGCCACAGTGCCACTTCTGGTACTGAGGAATCAACCCAGGGCTTCATGCATGCTCAGGGAAGCACTCTACCACTAAGCCACCTTCCCAGCCCTAATTAGGGCATTTGTTTAGGGGTGGAGTCTCACTACATGGCCTGTTCTAGCTTCCTGGGCTCCAGTGATTCACCCATCTCTACTCCTGAGAAGTGGGGACTACAGGTATAAGACACAATGCTCATGGGCTCTTTCCATTTTATAGTCTTCCATTCAATCAGACTCCTATTTGCCTGGATCCTGAATGACTGTCTAGGCAAAAGTGGGGAGTGGGAGCTGGGGAGGGTCCTCAGAGGTTAAGCATTTCTGCAGGGCAACTCTGCCCAACACAGAGGGCAAATGGGGAGCTATGCAGGCCCCTGCAGGGGGGAAAGCAGGGATTCTGCTACCTTGAATGTTTGATCTCTGCAACAAGCTGTCAGCAAGTCTTTCCTGCTGTGCTTCTAGCTTTATGGGGTCCATTCTCAGACCCTGGGTCTTATCTGAAACCAATAAAATGTAAATCAAGCTGAGCACCAAAGTACTCACTTATCAGATGCTTATAGGTAAGGTAATGACTTTCGTAACACTGGTTTGTCTTCAACCTTGGATCAAAACCAGAGCCAAAAGCTCAAGATCCCTCACATCTTCGTGTGTGTGTGTGTGTGTGTGTGTGTGTGTGTGTGTGTGTGTGTGTGTGTGTGTGTGTCCTTAAATTCAGGGCTTGGGCACTGTCCCTGAGTTTCTATGCTCAAGGCTAGCACTCTACCACTTTGAGCCACATCTCCACTTCCAGTTTTTGGTTTTGGTTTTGTAATTTATTGGAAGTATGAGTCTCTCATAGACTTTCCTGTTTGGGCTGGCTTTGAACCATGATCCTCAGATCTCAGCCTTCTGAGTAGCTAGGATGACAGGTGTGAGCCACCGACACCAGCTTTCCCTCACATCTTTTGCCTGTGTTCATGTAAGATAGAAATTCACAAGGAAAGAGAAAGAAGATTAAGCTGTTTGTCTTATTTCAAATGTAAAAAAAAACAAAAAAACAACAACCAGTAACCACTAACATTCTATATAGAGCTGAGTAGGTGCTAAACCCTGTGGTGAAAGATTTACACAGGAGTTCATTTGTTTCAGAGCAGTATTATCCTTAGCTGTTTTACATGGTGGGAAACTGAGGCACAGAGCTTAGGAAACTGGCCCAGTTCAGAGAAAGCTGGTAAATTGGGACTCTCATCTAGGCCGATAGGTTCTATTGCTTGGAGTTATTCAACACCAATAATGTGAGCCCAGTTTCTCAAGAGTGGTTTTGATGATCAATGATTTGAAAAGGTTGAGGGCGGGAAGAGTTGATATATGTAAATTATGTATTTATTTTTTACCAGTCCTGGGGTTTGAACTCAGGGCGTGGGCACTGTCCCTGAACTTCTTTTTGCTCAAGGCTAGCACTCTACCACTTGAGCCACAGCTCCACTCCCGGCCTTTTCTGGGTATATGGTACTGTAGAACTGAACCCAGGGCTTCATGCATGCTAGGTAAGCCCTCTACCACTAAGCCACATTCTCAGCCCCCAAATTCTAAGATTAAATGAGCAGAGCACAATCTCACTGTGTAAACAACTACTGGTAGATGATCTTTCTAGAAGAAGTAAGTCCTCAGCCATGTGAATGAGGCACCTGGAAACAGATCCTCCAGCCGCCAGATTTCTAGGATTGCCCCATAAGCTGGGAACAGGTAAGCTGTACCCCCACTGACCCCTGTGACGACTGACCCATAGAAATGGGGAGAAAATAACTAAGGATGGTTGTTTTGAAGCCCCATCAACCTGTTACCCGGCAATCGATTAGTCTTGACTTACCCTGTCTGCTCACAGATTTGTATCTTTGCTCTGTTTGGCATTGGTGAGGAATAGACATGTTGGCATTAAAAGACTCCTTTGTAGGAAAAGGTGTTCTTCCAAACTGTGGCGAACATGCTTCTGGCTTTACAACCACAGAAGGGTTTTTCCTAGGACTGGAACAAGTTAGCCATGAAATCCCAGTCAGAATTTGGCTAACCCCACTTAAAAGATTGAGTTATAAAACTTCCAACAAAATTTGAACTTTTCATGTGTGAGTATGTTGACCCAAAGGATTTTATTTTTTTTTGTCAGTCGTGGGGCTTGAACTCTGGGCCTGGGCGCTGTCCATCAACTCTTCAGCTCAAGGCAAGCACTCTACCACTTGAACCACGGAGCCACTTCTGGTTTTCTGGTGGTTTACTGGAAATAAGAGTCTGATTGATGCCAAGCGCCAGTGGCTCACGCCTGTCATCCTAGCTACTCAGGAGGCTGAGATATGGGGATCACAGTTCAAAGCCAGCCCAGGCAGGAAAAGACATGAGACTCCTATCTCAAGTGGTAGAGCACTTGCCTTGAGCTGAAGAGCTCAAGGACAGTGCCCAGGCCCAGAGTTCAAGCCCCACAGCCAACAACAAAAGGCTCAGGGACATTGCCCTGGCCCTGAGTTCAAGCCCCACTATGAGAGATGGATAATGTGTGAAAGTTAAGCAAGCTCCTTAGCACTAATGTCTTTAGAAGCCGATCTGATTTAGCCTCTGATCTGATTATACAACCCTGAGGCCTTCCATGTAATTGATATGTGAGGACGAACTTTCCTTAGCTCTTCTGACTTACCTGGCAAAAGAAGTTCCATTTCACATCCTGACTGGGCTGGGAAGGTGGCCACTGGTAGAGTGCTTGCCTAGTGTGCATGAAGCCCTGGGTTCACTTCCTCAGTACCATATAAGCAGAAAAAGGCTAAAGTGGCACTGTGGCTCAAGTGGTAGAGTGCTAGCCTTTAGCAAAAAGTAGCTCAGGGACAGTGCCCAAGCTGAGTTCAAGGCCTAGGACTTGTAAAACAAACAAACAAACAAAACCACCCTGACCACTATGAGCAGAAAAGCCCTAACACAGTTCAGATATTGAGACTGATACCTGCAGTGCCAAATTGCTGAGGTAGAAGAATGCACAGCATAGCACAGACCATTAATAGGCTGAGCCTTTTTATTTTTGGTTAGTCATGGGACTTGAACTCTGGGACTGGGTGCTGTCTCTGAACTCTTCAGCTCAGGGCTAGTGTTCTACCACTTGAGCCACAGTGCCACTTCCGGTTTTCTGGTGGTTTATTGGAGATAAGAGTCTCACAGACTTTTCCTGCCTGGGCTGGCTTTGAACCACGATCCTCAGATCTTAGCCTCCTGAGTAGCTAGGATGACAGGTATGAGCCACCGGTGCCTGGCTCGGGTAGAGCCATTTTATAGCAAGAGGAGGAGCTGTTAGAGAAAAATCTCAGGGAAGCCAATGAACAGAAAATATGCTAAATAGGTCTGAAATATACTTATATGTAGGCAATAACCTGTTGTAATAAAAAAATTACATAAAAATGTTAGGCTGATCTATCCCTAAAATTTGGCAATTATCTTTTCAGCTGTCTAGGCTGAAGGAATTATGTTTATTTATTTGTGTCAGTCCTGGGGCTTGAACTCAAGGCCTGATCACTGTCCCTGGGCTTCTTTTGCTCAAGGCTTGCACTCTACCACTGAGCCACAGAGCTACTTCTGGCCTTTTCTATTTATGTGGTACTAGGGAATTGAACCCAGGGCTTCATGCATGCTAGGCAAGCACTCTACCACTAAGCTACATTCCCAGCCCCTTAAATTTCTTTCTTTTTATTGTCGGTTGTGGGGCTTGAACTCTGGGCCTGGGTGCTGTCCCTCAGCTCTTCATCTCAAGGCTAGCACTCTACCACTTGAGCCACTGGTGCCCAGCAAAGCAGAAAGTACTTTTAGAGAACTTTGGCCTCATCCAAACAATCTTGGAATCTGTATAAAGAAAAACTCTGTCCAGGTGGTAGAGTCTAGATGGCTTTCATTGAAGACCAGCCTGACAAGCGTTATTATGCAGACTTTTTTTTTTTTTTTTTTTGAGCAGTCCCGGGGCTTGAAATCAGGACTTGAGCACTGTCCCTAAGTTTCTTTTACTCAAGGTTAGCACTCTACCACTTGAGCCACAGCTCTACTTCTGAAATTTTTGGCAGTTAATTGAAGGTAAGAGTCTCGTGGATTTTCCTACCCAGGCTGGCTTTGAATCACAATCCTCAGATCTCAGCCTCCTGAGTAACTAGGATTATAAGCATGAGCCACCAGTGCCTGGCTTATGTGGACATTTTGTTAACCAATGTAAAACTGCTCCATTCTTACCTGACATGGGAAATGGAGGGAGAAGCCAATTTATTTGCTCGTTCACTGTTTTGAAGTTTTGTCCTTAATTCATTCATTTCTGCATCTTTAAACTGGAGTTCAGACTGCAGGGATTGGAGCTAGAGTGCAAAAGAAACATGTAGTACTGCATCAACACAAACACACAGAAAAAAATCACAGCCAGGCTCCAGTGGCTCACACCTGTATTCCTAACTACTCAGGAGGCTGAGATGTGAGGATCACGGTTCAAAGGCAGCCCAGGCAGGAAAGTCTGTGAGACTCATGTCCAATTAACCACCAGAAAACCATACACGGTGTTCTGATTCAAATGGTAGAGCACTACAAGCCTTGAGCAAAAGAGCTCAGGGACAGCACCCAGGCCCTGAGTTCAAAGCTAGGCTTTGATGGCTCATGCCTGTAATCCTAGCTACTCAGGAGGCTGAGATCTGAGGATCATGGTTCAAAGCCAGCCCAGACAGGAAAGTCCACGATACTCTTATCTCCAACTTAAGAAACCAGAAGTGGCACCGTGCCTCAAGTGATAGAGTACTAGCTTTGAGCTGAAGAGATGAAGGACAGTGCCCAGGCCCAGAGTTCAAGCCCCATGACTGACCCAAGAAAAAAGAAAAAAAAAATCTCTTGGCTAAAATTCCAAGCTAATAAAAGAAAAATGATAAAGAATGCATACGAAAGTTTGCTCTGAGATAAATGTCCTAAAATATCAAATGTCACCCATTTTTCCCTGAAAGGCAGCATGGCATTCTAGACAGATATTTGATGCTACCTACTGTGGAGGAGATTTGTGAGGATTTAAATACCAGCCCTTTCTTCATCATACTTGGGGATAAAGTAGAATAAATATAAAATGTTAAGCACAGAGACTGGCAAGTTGCCACAGGCTCACCACAAGTTGATCTTTTTTGTTTGTTTGTTTGAGACAGGGTTTTGCTATGTAGGCCAGAGTATTTTAAACTCTTACTTCTTCCTCCTCAGCATCCTAAATAGGATTCTAGGTATAAACCACCACACCTGTGGGTCTTTTAATCAACTTAGTGGTGTACAACTCCAAGTTCTGAAAGTATGAGCAGAGGATCTGAAAGCCTTACCCAAACCCTGTGCTGATATATAAAAGAAGACCCAAGCCAGGTGCCGGTGGCTAATACCTGTCATCCTAGCTACTCAGGAGGCTAAGATCTGGAGGATCCCAGTTCAAAGCCAGCCCGGGCAGGAAAGTCCAGTAAACTCTGATCTCCAGGATCTGATCTCAGAAAAGGCTGGAAGTAGTGTTGTGGCTCAAGTGGTAGATCGCAAGCCTTGAATACAGAGAGATTCAGGGACAGTGCCCAGGCCCTGCGTTCAAGCCGAGGACTGGCAAAAAAAAAAAAAAAGAAGGAAAAAAGAAAAAAAGAAATATGACTATAAGAACAGAAGCGTCATAACTATGGAACCTGTCTATAGCACAGAGAATCAAAATGTGTCCATGGAAGTTCAAGTCATTTAATTTCTAATGCCTTAGAAATAGAAAAAGACGGGGCTGGGAAGGTGGCTCAGTGGTAGAGTGCTTGCCTTGCATGCATGAAGCCCTGGGTTTGATTCTTCAGCATCACATAAGCAGAAAAAGCCAGAAGTGGCGCTGTGGCTCAAGTCGTAGAGTGCTAGCCTTGAGCTGAAGAACTGAGGGACAGCACCCAGGCCCAGAGTTCAGGCCCACAACTGACAAAAAAGAAAGAAAGAAATAGAAAACTTGGCTGGACACAAGTGATTCATACCTGTAATCCCAGCTACTCAGGCTGAGATCTAGGATCAAGGTTCAAAGCCAGCCCAGGAAGAAAGTCTGTGAGAGTCTTCTCTCTAATTAATACTAAAAAGCTGGGGCTGAGAAGGTGGCTCAGTGGTAGAGCGCTTGCCTTGCATGCCTGAGGCCCTGGGTTTGATTCTTCAGCACCACATAAGCAAAAAGAAAAAAAAAAGCCGGAAGTGGCGCTGTGGCTCAAGAGCGCTGGCCTTGAGCTGAAGAGCTGAGGGACAGTGCCCAGGCCCAGAGTTCAAGCCCAACAACTGACCAAAAAAAAAAAAAAAAAAAAGATTAAAAAAAAAAAAAATACTAAAAAGCTGGAAGTGGAACTGTGGTTCAATTGGTAGAAAACCAGCCCAAGCCCATAATTTCAAGCTCACGGACCAGTAAAAATGAAAGACTTGGAAATAGAAGCCAATACATCAATACATTTCCTTTTGGTCTAAGATAGGTTAACTGAGTTCCTGACTTTCCAAAAGAGTCTTAAGCCTGTTTGCCCTAAACCATATGCAGAGTCTAAAAAAAAAAGTATATGGTGCCAGCTGCTGGTGGCTCATGCCTATAATCCTAGCTACTCAGGAAGCTGAGATCTGAGGATCAGGGTTCAAAGCCAGCCCAGGCAGAAAAGTCCATGAGACTCTTCTCTCCAATAAGCCACCAGAAAACTACAAGTGGCGTTGTGGCTCAAGTGGTAGAGCGCTTGCCTTGAGCTGAAGAGCTGAGGGACAGCATCTAGGCCTAGAGTTCAAGCCCCATGGCTGACAAAAAAAAAAGTATATGGTATTCACCAAAAGCAGAAAGTATTTTTGTTGTTATTATTATTGGTTATGGGGTTTGAACTCAGGGCTGAGCGCTGTCCCTGAGCCTCTTTGTGTTCAAGGCTAGCTAATGCTCTATCACTTAAGTCAGAGTCACTTCTGGTTTTTAAGTGGTTAATTGGAGCTAAGAGTCTCAGGGGGACTTTTCTGCCCAGGCTGGCTTCAAACTTCGATCCTTATATTTCAGCCTCCTGAGTAGCTAGGATGACAAATGTGAGCCACCAGCTCCCTACTTAAGCAGGAAGTATCTAAGACAAACAACTTCTGAAATTTCCCTGGAAGATTTACAGTTAACATTGGTCATTGCTTCTAGAGGAACTCAACAAGCAGGCAAAAAACTTCTGTCCGTAGCATATAAAACAAATACACTCCCGTTCACCTTTTTGGAGAATTCCTTTTCTTTTTCACTAAGTACTTGGCTTTTTTCTTGCTCAAGAAGAAATTGTGCTCTTCTCTGTTCTTCAAGAACCAATTCTGTCTGAAAGAGTGAGTCCCGCAAAATTTTAATCTCTCCATTCTTAACGAGGATTTCTTCTTCCATTGTCTTCAGCTGTGAATTCCAAATGAACACCACAGTTTAAGCATGTACCTGTGCAAATATCACTTGTCCCGTGCAAAATCTTCAGGCTCTAACAGTCAAATTCTTCACAAAACTTAAGACTCCATATTATGTCCCTGAGTTAATTTTTTAAAATTCATTTAATTTATCATTTTATTTTATTTTTTTTAAACTACCTGTAAGTAATCTGTACAAAAGAGTTTCAATTCAACATGTTAGTATTTTGGTTTTGGGTTTGGGGCTTGAACTCAAGGCCTGAGCGCTGTCCCTGAGCTCTTTTTGCTCAAGGTTAGTGCTCTAACACTTTAAGCCATAGCTTCACTTCTGGTTTTTAGGTGGTTAATTGGAAATAAAGAGTCTCATGGGCCTTCCTGCCCAGACTGGTTTCAAAGCAAGATCCTTAGATCTCAACTTCTTATGTAGCTATAGACATAAAGCAGCAGCCTCTGGCATTCACATATTTTTTTGTTTTGATTTGTTTTTGTTTGCTTGAACTCTGGGCCAGGCTCTGTGAGCCTCTCTGTGCTCAAGGCTAGCTTTCTACCACTTGAACCACAGTGCTACCTCTAGCTTTTTTTTTTTTTTTTTCAAAAGTAGTTTATTGGAGATAAGTGTCTCCTCTAGTTTCCTGTCAAGGCTGCTTCAAACTAGGATCCTCAGAACTCAGCTTCCTGAGTACCTAGGATTACAGGCTTCAGCTACAGCACTCTGCTCAGTTTTTTAGTACAACGAATCTTTATTTCTTTGCCAGTCCTGGGGCTTGAACTCAGGGCCTGAGGACTGTCCTGAGCTTCTTTCTTGCAACTTAATAAAATAGTAATCACTATGATGTCATGTTCTTCACTTAAACATGCTAGCCTGGTGCTACTGGCTCACACCTTTAATCCTAGCTACTTCAGTAAACTAGCAAAAGCCAGAAGTGGAGCTGTGGCTCAAGCAGTAGTGTGCTAGCCTTGAAAGAAAAAGTTAAGAACAGTGGGGCACTGGTGGCTCACACCTATAATCCTAGCTTCTCAGGAGAATGAGATCTGAGGCTCATGATTTGAAGCTACCCTAAGCAGAAAGGTTCATGAAATTCTTATCTGGAATTGGAGCTGTGATTCAAAACGATAAAGCACTAATTCTACCAGCACCCAGCACCCAGGTCTTCTTTTTGTTTTAACCAGTCCTGGAGCTTGAACTCAGGGCCTGGGCACTGTTCCTGAGCTTCTTTTGTTTTTGTTTTGTTTTTGGGGGTCCAGTCGTGGGGCCTGAACTCTGGGCCTGGGCGCTGTCCCTCAGCTCTTCAGCTCAAGGCTAGCGCTCTACCACTTGAGCCACAGCGCCACTTCCGGCTTTTTTCTTTTTGCTTATGTGGTGCTGAGGAATCGAACCCAGGGCCTCATGCATGCAAGGCCAGCGCTTTACCACTGAGCCACCTTCCCAGCCCCCTGAGCTTCTTTTGCTCAGGACTAGCACTCTACCACTTGAGCCACAGCGCCACTTCTGGCTTTTCCTGTGTATGTGGTACTGAGAAATGGAACCCAGGGCTTCATAAATGCTAGGCAAGCACTCTACCACTAAGCCACATTCCTAGTTCAGCACCCAGGTGTTGAGTTCAAGATCCAGGACCAGCAAAACAAAATCCCTATGCTATACTTTCATCTTAGTTGGTATTTGTGTTTGGTCTGATGCACAGTGTTTTCTTTTCTTGCCTTGCTTGCGGTTAGCAATCTTACTCTTTGGTTTCTTTCAGTCTACATCGTCTAGCTTTCTTTCCCCAACATTCTTTCATTTATTGAGGATGAATCTAGACTGTGTGAAAAAATTTTATTTCAGGGGCTGAGAAGGTAGCCCAGTGGTAGAGCGCTTGCCTTGCATGCATGCATGAGGCCCTGGGTTCGATTCTTCAGCACCATATAAGCAAAAAAAAAAAAACAAAAAGCCAGAAGTGGCGCTGTGGCTCAAGTGGTGAGCCTTAAGCTGAAGAGCTGAGGGACAGCGCCCAGACCCAATTTCAGGCTCCATGACCAGAAAAAAAAAATTTATTTCACACAAGTGGCTAAAGAAGCCATAAATGAGCACTGAGAGTGTACTTCAGTGGTATAGCATGCTTATCTATGCAAGGCCCTTGGCTCTATCCTCAGCACAGAAATCGAACAGGTAGGTACTAGCAGCTTGTCCCTGTAATTCTAGCTACTCAGGGGGGCAGACTCCAGCTGAGGTAAGAAATTCCCAAGACTAGGGGCTGGGAAGGTGGCTCAGTGGTAGAGCACTTGCCTTGCATGCCTGAGGTCCTGGGTTCGATTCTTCAGCACCACATAAGTAAAAAAGAAAAAAGCCGAAGTGGAGCTGTGGCTCAAGTGGTAGAGCGCTAGCCTTGAGCTGAAGAGCTGAGGGACAGCGCCCAGGCCCAGAGTTCAGGCCCACGACCAGACCCCCCCATTTCCCCCCCCCCTAAAAAAAGAAATTCCCAAGACTCCATCTCAACAGCTTGAAACAATGGTAAACACTACTCTAGGCCAGTCTGGGCAAAATAGTTAATCAGATTCCATTTCAACAGAAAAGTTGGGCATGGTAGCATAGACATATCATCCAGGCTATGCAGGAAGCATAAACAGGAGATCATGGGTCCGGGCTGGCTCAGGAAAAAGAAAAGAAAAAAGAAATAAATACAAAGGAAAAAAAAAAAAATAACCAGAGTGGGACTTAGACTGTGGCTTAGTGGTAGAGTGCTTGTGCTTGCCTAGCATGCATGAAGCCCTGGGTTCAATTCCTCAGTACCACATACACAGAAAAAGCCAGAAGTGGCACTGTGGCTCAAGTGGTGAGCACTAGCCTTGAGCAAAAGAAGCTCAGGGACAGTGCCCAGGCCTTGAGTTCAAGCCTCAGGACTGGCAAAACAACAACAACAAAAAACAAAAACAAACAACAACAAAACAGAAAAAAAAAAAGAGCCGGAAGTATGTCTCAAGTGGAAGGATATATATCTACCTAGTATGTTTCAGACCCTGAGTTCAAACTCCCAATACTGCTCTCAACCAAACACACCAAGAAATAACAAGGCAAAAATACCCCAAAAGTTACCTTTTTTTCAAGTTCTTTGTATTGTGTCTGAAGTACTTCAAATTGACAGTTATCGTTAACTGGAGTATTTTCTCTGTTTTTCCCTGCTGGACTTTTTGGCATTTCATCAAATCTGTAGACTTTATAAACACCTGTTAAAAAAATTCCATAATTCAAGTAAGGTGACATGACACTAAGCCCAGCACCTGGAAGGCAGAGGTAGTAGAATCTTGAATCTCAAGTTTAAGGCCAGCATGGCTAGATACAAGACCTTGTTTCAAAAACAATTCCACATAGGGCTGAAAAAGTGGCTTAGTAATAAGAGTGCTTGCCTCGCATGCATGAAGCCCTAGGTTCAATTCCTCAGTATCACATACACAGAAAAAGCCAGAAGTGTGCTGTGGCTCAAGTGGCAGAGTGCTAGCCTTGAGCAAAAGCAGCTCAGGGACAGTGCCCAGGCCTGAGTTCAAACCCCAGGACTGTCAAAAAATTCCACATAAATTTCAGGAGTCAATGTTTCCCAACTTTTTCCAGAAAATAAAAAGAATCATTCTTAAACGCAAAGCAGGGAGGCAGGCACTCGTAGTTTAACATCTGAAATCCAAGCTACCAGGAAGCTGAGATTTGAGGATCGTGGTTCAAGGTTCAAAACTAGCCCAGACAGAAAAGTCTATGACTTTTTTTTTTTTTTTTTGCCAGTCCTGGGGCTTGAACTCAGGGCCTGAGCACTGTCCCTGAGTTTCTTTTGTTCAGGGCTAGCACCTTACCACTTGAGCCACAGCACCACTTTTTCTGTTTATATAGTACAGAGGAATGGAACCCAGGGCGTCATGCATGCTAGACAAGTACTCTACCACTAAGCCACATTCCCAACCCGTTAGACTCTACTCTTCACTAAACGTCCCAAAAAAAAAAGAGCCAGAAGTAGAGCTGTGGCTTAAGTGGTAAAGCACTAGCCTTGAGCCAAAGATCAGGGACAGCACTCAGACCCTGAGAATGAAGGCCCAGGACTGAGTCTGAAAAGTCAGTCTGTCTCTCTCTCTCTCACACTCACACGTAGGAAAAGATTTAGCAATCTAACATATATAGCAGTCTGTTTGTCTTCTCTTTCGTGCCAGTCCTGGCAGGAGACCTCCTAAGAACTAAAGCAGCAGTGACGATTCTGATGGTGCTACCAGTTGTGTTCCAAAGATCTCTGCTTAGAACCAAGAACGCAGTGCCAGACACTTGCGAGAAGGAAGTGGGCAAAAAAAAAAAAAAAAGTGAATCTCTCTCTCTCTCTCTACGTGCAAACTGTGGCGATCTGACGTTCCGGATCTCTCCTCTCAAATCAAAGGCTCCTCCCGGAACACAACCATCGCGGCTGAAATCCGGGTGACTCTGGCCACGGGGTTCTGCGGTCACCACGCCTCCATAGATGGGGGCTGAGATCTGTGATCACCCGCCTAGGTGGGGTGGGAGTGTGAGGAAGAGGAGGCAGGCAGGGTGGGGGGGAGGATGCACAAGACACCCCAAGAACACTCACTAGACATGTCTCGGGCCTCTGCCCGGCACTGACTCAAAGCCTGGGACGCGAGGACGTCGAGTTCCTCCAGATCGTCGGCCGTCAGTTCCCCATGCTCGCCGAAGGGGTCTTCGGTGTCCGGGCCCAGGCCCGCCGAGCAGCCCCGGGCCCGTTTGCTCGGAGGATGCTCGTTCTCGGGCTGCGTGTCCAGGAAGGAGGCTGGGGATGCGCTCCGCCTCCCGCTCCCGGGCCTGGACCTGCCAGCCATGGCCTCTCCTCCCCGGCTCCGCGATCCGCAGCGTCCGGAGGACTCCGGCCTGGCACCACCTGTGGGGGGGGGGGGGACCCCCGTCTACCGCGCGCGCGCGCGCCCCGGCGCGCGTGGCCCGAGCCGGACCAACCGTCCGCGCGCCGCCCGGTTCGCTTCAGCGGTCTGCGCGCCGCAGACCTTCCCCGCCCACCCACCCCAGCCAGCCACGCCCCCTCCCAGCCCCGTGGACCAATCAGCTTCCTAGTGTGGGAGGGGTCGCGCGAGGATGACGTCAGGGGAGCGCGCGCGCGCGTCCGGGCGGCTGGGGTCGGCGTCGGCGGCGGAGGTGGTTTCTGTTTGTTTGTTTGTTTGTTTGGAGATGTGGCGCTTTCGCGGAGGTTTGAAGCGGCGCCGGGGGAACTCAGGGCGATGTGTTCGGAATGATCGGGACCCAGGGCTCCGAAGCGCTTTCCGGGCGCTCGGGTGGAGTCCCCGGGCCCGCGGGGCCCGCGTCGCCCCGGCCCCTGCCGTCCCCTCCCCGGGCCTCGCCTCGAGCGCGCTCGATCCAGCCAGGCTTGTGGCGTTCCAGGTGGTGGTTTTTGGTTTTGATTGTGTTTGCTCTAAGAGTTCTTTGTCTTCTTTTGTGCAGGTCTTGGGGCTCGAACTCGGGGGCCTGCGGGCTGTCTCTGAGGTGGCTTTTTTTTTTTGCTCAAGGCTAAGGTTCTGCCACTTTGAGAGAGACAGCTCGACTTCCGGCTGCTTTTTTCTTGATGGTTCATTGGAGGTAAGGGTCACGGACCTTCACCTCCCAAGCTGGCTTTGAACCGCGAGCTGCTGATCTGAGCCTCCTCCTCCGTAGGATCTGCAGGCGTGAGCCCCCGGCGTCCGGTTAGGAGTTTGGTTTTATGGTGACCCATCTTTTCTCAGCCCCCGCCCAACCATCATCACACGATCGTATGAATGGAACTGTGTTGTGGGCAGGAATGAATATACACACACATACATATACGCCATATACACATATACATATGGTCTTGGGAAGAGGGGGAAAAGATCCAAGGAGAGTTATTCTGCAAAATGGTGGTGTCTGTGAGAGAGGGGGGGAACTGTCTTGGGCTGTTTACATTCATTTCGTTTATTTCTCTGTGAGTGCAGGAGTATTTTTTTTGTCCCAATATGAATAGAGCTCAGGAGGTGAAGGAAGGCCACCTGGATTTTCCTACAGGTTTAGTAGGAGTTAAAAGAGCAGGAAGCTGATGCGTGGGGTTATACTCACCCACGAACTAAATATACACTGATCCCCTGGTAGGAGTTATCTATGGCAAAAGGAAAGTGGAGGGAGGGGGTTGAACTGCCCAATTGGGTGTTTGCCATGATTTTATTGAGCAGCAGTGGCAGGTGGAATTGTTAGCAGTATAGAAGATGGTTGTTGGAGAGAGCTCAGTGTGAAACAGCCCATGAGTGCACTTTTCTCCTCTTCCTCTGGTGAGTGTTCTATGAATGTCTGTTAAGGTATTAAGTGTATAAATAAGGGCCTGGCATCCCCTTTAGATTTTTGAAGCAATGGTAGGTCCCCTCACATTCAAATGTTTACTGCTTAAGTCCTAGTTTTTTGGTTTTTGTTTTGTTTTTGTTGTCAGTCATGGGACTTGGAAGTTCAGGCTTGTACACTGTATCTGAGCTCTTTAGCTCAAGGCTAATGCACTATCACGTTGAGCCACTTCTGGTTTTCTGGTGGCTAATTGTTTTTTTGGGGGGGAGGGGGTCTAGTTGTGGGGCCTGAACTCTGGGCCTGGGCGCTGTCCCTCAGCTCTTCAGCTTAAGGCTAGCACTCTACCACTTGAGCCAAAGCGCCACTTCTGGCTTTTTTCTTTTTGCTTATGTAGTGCTGAGGAATCAAACCCAGGGCCTCAGGCATGCAAGGCAAGCACTCTACCACTGAGCCACCTTCCCAGCCCTGTTTCAAGCTTTAAAAAAAATTTTTTTTGCTGGTCCTAGGGCTTGAACTCTGGGCCTGGGCACTGTCCCTGAGCTCCTTTTGCTTAAGGCTAGCACTCTACCACTTGAGCCACAGCGGGCGCCACTTTTGGCTTTTTCTGTGATTAATTGGAGATGAGTCTCATAGACTTTCCTGCCTGGGCCGGCTTGGCTTCCAAACAGTAATCCTCAGATCTTATCCTCCTGAGTAGCTAGGATTACAGATGTGCGCCATCTTCCCCAATTTGTTTCAGTGTTTTAATCCTCTTGTTTTGATTTAGCAATCTCAGAATGATTCTAACCCCACCCCCCCCCCAACCCCCTAGGATCCCACTATGTACAGTCCAGGCTGTTCTCAAATTCATTATCTTCCAGCCCTAACCTCCAGTGGTATGGGATTTCAGGCCTTTACTAACACACTGAGCTTCTGAAGCCCTTTCTAAAAATACATCTTCAGGAAAAATAAAACTGTTAGCATTATTCCCATAACTGTATCATTGTATCAACAGCCCCAAGCCGAAATGTAAATATTGGTGCCTGTCAGGTCTTTTAATTAATACATGGTTTCTGTTCTCCTAAAGTTTACATTGTAGTCAAAGGGGTTAGGAGGAAAAACAAACAAAAAACCAGGTCAAGAGAATGGAAGTGCCTCTTTATAGTAATCAGGGAAGAACTCAATATTGTGGTGGTTGGATTTTCAGTTCTCAGAAGGAAGGTGTGCCCAGTATCTATAATACAGGCAGAAGAAAGGGTTGGTGAAGCAGCTTGAAATTCAGGTCACTGGCGGAAGATGTATTAGGGCATCACTGGTCATCTTAACATTTTTGGCTTTTTCTTTTTTGGTTTTGCCAGTCCTGGGGCTTGAACTGAGAGCCTGAGCACTGTCCCTCAGCTCTTCAGCTCAAGGTTAGCACTCTACCACTTGAGCCACAACACCACTTCCAGCTTTTTCTGTTTATGTGGTACTGAGGAATCAAACCCAGGATGTCATGTATGCTAGGCAAACACTATGACAAGGCACATTCTCAGCCCACTCCCATTTTCTACCCTTCACAGTATAAGCCATGTATATATATGTTTTCCCCTTTCCTATCTCCTGCTACAATAATTGACAGTATGAGCTGTTAACCAGCACATGCCCCAGTGTCTGTACACAGAAAACTTACATGAACAGATGAGTAACAATTTAAAATATAGACCAGCTTGGCAAAAGTGTTTTTTTTTTCTCCTTTCAAAGTATAAAATTTTCCACTAGATGCAGGTAAGGTAATCCACTGGATATACAACACAAGAAGGGCAGCCTTTTAAATGAGTTGGTTTACTTTCAAGATGATACAGAATGCAAGAGTAGAACAAAGAGCAGACTCTGGCAGGAACCTAGGCTGGGTTTACTTGAAATTTACAGCTGAGGTAGCAATGGCTGACACAATGGCTGACAAACTAGAGACTGAGCCACTGTAGGATTTTTTTTTTTAAAGGTTGTTCTTAATGTTCAGAGTCCTAGACAAAACTTCATTCTACCTATAGGTGGCAGAAATGTTACGACAGGAAATCCAGATGTTGAATGGGAATGGAATCAAGGGTCACCATCATCTCAGGAACAAGAAACAGCTTACTTTTTGCCAGATTTCTTAATTCCACCTGTGGCTGCAGAAGGGGGAAAAAATCAGTTAGAAAGTCTGACCTTCCTGGCTTCAAACAACCCCCCCAGGTCTCAGCCTCCTGAGAGACAAGTTTATAGGTGTGAGCCATTGGTGTGTAGTTGGAAAAAAAAATAGTTCTAGACACAGCAATGGCTGTGTACTGTTTTGCATCTACACTGTTGTGTACTTAACAAATTAGCTCATTTACCTTCCAGCCCCAGAATACACTTTACAGCCAAGCCTTTATGTCTGGTGGTGTTCAAGGTTTCAAGCTAGTATGGGCGAACATGAGTGGCTTGACTTTTTTGAGACAGGTTCTGGCTATAGCACCAGTTGGCTTGAAATTCATGATCCTTCTGCCTCAGCTTCCTGAGTGCTAGGATTAACAGGCATATGCTACCAATCCAAAATCTGGTGTACTCTTAATTGCCATACCACATTACCTATATCCTCTATTTTGTTCTTGGGGTCTGATTTGCTCAGTGCCTGTATTTTACTCAAATCCACAAATGGCAATACATTTGGCACCCAACAAGTAATTTTTAAAAACCTGTAGAATTATTAATATTTTGTTGTTGTTGTTCAAAGGGATCGAACTCTAGGCCTGGGCACTGTCCCTCAGCTCTTCAGCTCAAGGCTCTACCACTTGAGCCACAGCCATTTTCTGGTGGTTCATTGAAGATAAGAGTCTAATGAACTTTCCTGCCCAGGCTGGCTTTGAACCCTGATCCTCAGATCTCAACCTCTTTAGTGGCTACGATTATAGGTGTAAGCCACCAATCCCAGTTTAGCTATAGAATTATTTCAAATGACAAGAATGAAGGAACAGGACTAGGATATTTTGGGGGGGGGGGGGGGGGGAAGAGATGGTCCTGGGGCTTGCACTCAGGGCCTGGGCTCTGTGTCTGAGCCTCTTTGAGCCCAAGACTAGTTCTCTATCTTGTGAAGCACAGCATCACTTCCGGCTTTCTCTGAGTAGTTTATTGGAAATTAAGGGTCTCACAAATTTTTGGCTTTGAATTGCAATCCTCAGATCTTAGCCTCCTGAGCTAGGATTACAGGCATGAGCTACCAGTGCCTGGCTGACTTTTTTTTTAAGGTTTACTGGGGTTTGAACTCAAGGTCTTCTGCTTTCTAAACAAGCATTCTACCACCTGAGTGCTGCCCCCCTCCTTTCCCCCCCCCAGACCTGGGGCTTGGACTCAGGGCCCAGGCACTGTCCCTGAGCTTCTTTGGCTCAGGCTAGCACTATACCACTTGAGCCACAGCACCACTTCCAGCTATTTGTGGTACTGAGGAATTGAACCCAGGGCTTCATGCATGCACTCTACCACTAAGCCACTTTCCCAGCCACCCCCACTTTATTTTTAGGTATTTCTCAGATAGGGTCTTTCTTGCCTTAGTGGGCCTGGACTACATGTAGTTTTCCTACTTTATGTCTCTTGCCTTAGTGGGCCTGGACTACATGTAGTTTTCCTACTTTATGCCTCCTACATAGCTGGATGATAGACTGCACTATCATGCCCAGCTTTATTCATTTAAGAGTCTCCCTAATCGTTTTTGGCCCAAGCACACTTTCAACTATCTTCTCCCCTGATTTCCTGAATAGCAAGGATTACAGGTATGAGCCACTGCCTTAGACAAAATAAATCCTAACAAAAGTCAAGCTGGTCAGCCGGGCACCAGTGGCTCATGCCTGTCATTCTAGCTACTCAGGAGGCTGAGATCTGAATGCAGTTCAAAGCCAGCCCAGGCAGGAAAGTCCATGAGACTTATCTCCAATAAACCACTAGAAAACTGGAAGTGGCGCTGTGGCTCAAGCAGTAGAACACTGACCTCGAGCTGAAGAGTGCAGGGACAGCGCCCAAGCCCAGAGTTCAAGCCCCGTGACTGACCATAAAAAAAAAATTAAGCTAGTCATGGTGTCATATGCCTGTAATACCAGCACTTGGGGAGGTGTTTGAAGGCATCCTAGGCTACATTACTAAGGAAGAAAAAAGGATGTGCTCAAACAGTACTGGTTAGGTATTCCTCCTCTAAAATGCTGGGAACAGGAGTGTTTCAGATTTGGTGATCTTTCCATATACAGAATGAGATACTTGTGGATGGGATCCAAGTCTACAGTGCAAGATGCTTGACATTCTGAAAAGGTGTTTTCAATAGCTACACCCTCAGTGCAGTGTAAACAATAATGGAAAGCCAGGCACCAGTGGCTCCTGCATGTAATCCTACTCAGAAGGCTGAGATCTGAGGATCTCAGTTCAAAGTCAGTTGGGCACAAAAGTCCCCAAGGGAGTATCATCTCCAATGAAGCACCCAAAAACCAGAAGTGATGCTATGCCTCAAGTGGTATAGGAATAGCCTGGGGCACAGAGAGGCTTGGGGACAGCCCCCAAGTCCTGAGTTCCACCCCACAATTTACAAAAAAAGAAAAAAAGCACCTGACATGAGATAGTTAACTCCTCTGTACAGCATCTTAATAACAATAAGATTATATTTAAAAAACGGGAAAAAGACACACAAAGAGAAACTATTTGGGAAAAGAGAATTAAAAACTAACAATAATGAATCAAAGTCACTGGAACAGAGGTCTTGAGAAGACCTGAGTAAGAGTTCCATTATTCTTGCCTCCATTATGCCTTGCATATTTATGTGCTTAAGAAGCACATAAAGAAGCCAGGCACTGGTGGCTCACGCCTGTAATCCTAGCTACTCAGGAGGCTGAGATCTGAGGATCACAGTTCAAAGCTAGCCCAGGCAGGAAACTCCGTGAAACACTTATCTCCAATAAATCACCAGAAAACTGGAAGTGGTGCTGTAACTTAAGTGGTAGAGCACTAGCCTAGAACTGAAGAGCTGAGGGACAGCGCCCAGGCCTAGAGTTCAAGCTACATGACTGACAAAAAAGAAGCAGCACATAAAGAGGCTGGGATATAGCTTAAGTGGTAGACTGCCTGACTAGCATGAATGAAGCTCTGAGTTCGATTCCTCAGTACCACATAAACAGTGGCACTGTGGCTTAAGTGGTACAATGCTAGCCTTGAGCAAAGAAGCTCAGGGACAATACCCAGGCACTGAGCTCAAGACCCAGGACTGGCAAAAAATAAAAATGGATAAATAAAAAGCGCATCAAACATTAGGGCTGCTGGGCCAGAAAGTCTTTTAAAATGTAACACATTTCTCTTATACCCAGGGGAAAAAAAGACAAAATAATGCAAGTGTGGGGGGGGTGGTGTTTAGGTCAGGAAAGTACAAGGAGTAATAAAGCAAGCCCGGGAGCCTGGACTTTTTATCTTTTAGCCTAGACACACCCACAACTGACTCAAGAAAAGAGGGAGAGAAAAAGCCATTTATTACAAGACGGTAGGAGTAAAAAAAAACAAAAAACCGAACAATGTTCAAAGCAGCAGAGGCGGTAAATGGCACATGTGGGCAAAGAAAATTGTGGACGCTGGTTTAGCAACCAACCTACGTGAACCTGGGGATCCCTGTCCGCAGGAATGGGAACCCGAGGCTGCCCAGGGCCGAGGCCCAGGGTGCCGGCCCGGATCCCCCCCCCTTCCCGGCCCGGTTCCCCCCCCTTCCCGGCCCGGATCCCCCCCCCCTTCCCGGCTCGGATCCCCCCCTCCCCGGCCCGGATCCCCCCTTCCCGGCCCGGATCCCCCCCCTCCCCGGCCCTGATCCCCCCTCCCCGGCCCGGATCCCCCCCCTCCCCGGTGAGCCACTTACCGAGGGGCCCCTTCCCCGCGGCCTTCGCTTTCAGCTCCTCGAGTTTCTTCTGCTCCTCTTTCTGTTTCTGCTTGAAGGCCTTGTCTTCCTAGGGGAGAAGGCCGCGCGCGATCACTGCAGGCCGGGCCCCGGCCCCCGATCCGCCCCGGCCCCCCCGGCCCCCCGGCCCCAGCCCCCCCCCCCCCCAGCCCCCGGCCCCGGCCTTCCCCCCAGCCCCCGGCCCCGGCCCCCCTCCCCGTCCCCCCCCGGCCCCCGGCCCCGGCCCCCCCCCCGGCCCCCGGCCCCGGCCCCCCCCCCAGCCCCCGGCCCCGGCCCCCCTCCCCGTCCCCCCCGGCCCCCGGCCCCGGCCCCCCCCCGGGCCCGCCCCCCCCCAGCCCCCGGCCCCCCCCCCCCGGCCCCGGCCCCCGGCCCCGGCCCCGGCCCCCCCCCCCAGCCCCCGGCCCCGGCCCCGGCCCCCCCCCGCGCCTCCAAGGCCCCGGCCTCACCTCATCCATCTCCTTGGCCTGCTTCTTGGGCTGCTTCAGGGGCTTCTTCTTGCCACCTGCGGGCGACACGAGCGCGCTCAGCCCGCCCCCCGCGGCCCGTGCCCCGGTCCCGCCCCGCCAGCCCGGCCCCGCCGCGCAGACACTCACCCTCGCGGCCGGACATGATGCCAGCCGCGCCTCGGCCCAGACCCTGACCCGAAGCCGGAAGCCCGCTTCCCACAAGGCGCGGCTCCTCGCAGGCGGGCCCGCGGATTGGCTCTCGAGCCGGAAGTTTCCCTTCCATCACAGCGAGGGCCTTTCCGGGACGGGAGGGCGGGTGCTGAGGGGTCAGGGGTCGGCCGGGTGAAGGCCGCGGGATCCGGCCCGCCGCTGGCGCGGAGGCGGGCTGGGCGCTGCAGGTACGGGGCCCGGGGCTGCGGGAACACCGGGAGGCAGGTCCTGCTGTTACTGTTCTTGCCGTTGCTGTCGGTGTCAGTTTGGTCGGTGGCGGGGCTTGAACTCGGAGCCCGGGCGCTGTCCCCGAGCTCTTCAGCTCCAAGCTGAGCGCTCCCGCCCAGCGCCACGGCCGGCTTCCTGGCGGGTCACCGCAGACGTGAGTCTCACGGCCTTTCCTGCCCGGGCTGGCTCTGAACCGCGATCCTCAGCTCTCCTGCCTCCTGAGTAGCTAGGATGACAGGCGTGAGCCACCGGCGCCCGGCTTAGAAGGCAGGGGTGTTTTGTTGTTGTTGTTATTTTGTTTTAAGCAGGGTTTCATTCTATATCCCAAGCCAGTTTGGGATGTATCCTTGTAGCCCCCAAGCTGGCCTTGACCTCACTGTCTTCCTGCCTCAGCCTCCTCCAGAGTGCTTTAATGACAGATGTCAGCCACTACACCTGGATGAAGTTTGGGTTTTATAAAAATAATCAGGGTGCAACTCTTTTGCAAATTCTGTTTATTCATTCAGTACATTTGTGTGGAGGGAGGGAGGGAGAGGTCCTGGGGCTTGAACTCTGGGCCTGGGTACTGTCCCTGAGCTTTTTTTGCTCAAGGTTGGGCCTCTACAACTTGAGCCACACTTACACTTTCAGCTTTTTGGTGGTTAATTGGAGATAAGAATATCATGGAGGTGGGCTGGGAAGGTGGCTCAGTGGTAGAGCGCTTGCCTTGCATGCCTGAGGCCCTGGGTTCGATTCCTCAGCACCACATAAGCAGGAAAAAAAAAAGCTGGAAGCGACACTGTGTCTCAAGTGGTAGAACACCAACCTAGAGCTGAAGAGCTCAGGGATGGCGCCCAAGCCCAGAGTTCAGGCCCCAAGACCGACAAAAAAAAAAAAAAAAGAATATCATGGAGCCTGGCACCAGTGGCTTACACTGGTCATCCTAGATACTCAGGAGGCTGAGATATAAGGATCGTGGTTCAAAGCTGTTAGAATCAGAGAGAGAGAGAGTAGCCAGCTGTATGGGGGAACTCTAGGGCAGGGAGGAGTTCAGATCTGGGTGGAGCTAAGGACCAGAGGGTGGGTATAATACTAACAAAAGCCAGCCTGGGCAGAAAACTCTTTGTCTCCAATGAACCACCAGAAAACCAGAAGTGGCTCTGTGGCTCAAAATGGTAGAGCGGTGGACTTGAGTGCAAAAGCTCAGGGACAGCCAGCCAGGCCCTGAAATGAAGCCGCTGCTGCCTTTGAACCTCCATCCTCAGATCTCACCTTCTGGATTACGGGCGTGGCTCTGGATTACTGGTGGCTCACCCACCAGTGCCCAGCAAGAGTCTCAGATGTGCCTGCCCAGGATGACTGGACTGAGATCTTCACATCTCAGCCTCCTGAGTAGCTAGGATTACAGGTGTGAGCAACAGGTACCTGGCTGCCTGGACCCCCTTTAGCCAGAAGGCACATGACGGCCCCCCCCCCCCCCCGCTTTGTTTTTCAGGGGGTCTGAGTTCTTCACCAATGAGAAGGCAGAGGCTGCGGTACTGTGTTCTCTATCACAGCTTCCTCAGGAAGCACTTTGTTCCTCAGCACCTGGCACTGTCTTGTCCCCGTCTCTCTCTTGCTTTACTCCCTGTGGCTTACTGAGTCAGCCACCAGGTGTCGCTCTGACACATAAGAGCTTTGGGATCTATGAAGAAGGCACCAGAAACCAGGGTCTTCAGAGTCATTCTGTTCTTGAGCTGTGGCAAAGCCTGACTCTAGATACTTCTGGTGCCCCATTCAGATCAGAGTAGTAGGCATTGGTAGGGCCCAAAGGGAAGGAACAAAGAAGCCTGACCTGCTGTGCAGGCATGAGACAGGGGAGGTAGGAGAAATCTCCAGAAGGTGAGAAATCTAAGACTGAGACTTAGTAGGCCAGAAAGGCAGGTTGAAGGGCTGACGTGAACATTAGAAAAACTATTCTCTGTGCAAGACAACTGTTTTCCCTTGCCCTGGAATTACCTTCTCCAAAGAGAACTTTTCTGTCTTGTGACATCAATGATCTCTGTCCTCATCAGGGAGTCTGGGAAGTTGCATGTGAGAATCTTTTAGAGAAATGACCTGAGAGCTGGGAATGTGTTTGCCTAGCATGCATGAAGCCCTGGGTTCCATTCCTCAATACTATATAAGCAGAAAAAACCAGAAGTGGTGCTGTGGTTCAAGTGGTAGAGTACTAGCCTTGAGCTGTTAAACTGAGGGGCAGTGCCCAGGCCCAGAGTTCAGGTCCTATGACTGACACACACATACACACACACACACACACACACACACACCAAAAAAGAGCCAGGCACCAATAGCTCACACCTATAGTCCTAGCTACTCAGGAAGCTGAGATCTGAGGATCACAGTTCAAAGCCATGAAAGTCCATCAGACTCTTATCTTCAATAAACTACTCAGAAAAAGCTGGAAGTGACACCCTGGCTCAAGTGGTAGAGTGCTAGCCTTGAGCACAGAGGCTCAGGGACAGAGCCTAAGACCAGAGTTCAAGCCCTGGGACTGGTGAAACAATCAATCAATCAGTCAATGTAACTGTGCTTCTTAAACTGCCCTGTATCACCCTCAGTCCCACCAATGCACAGAGAGCCTTTAGGTATCTGTGGGACTTGGTTCACATGGACACAACTGAAGTTTGAGAACTTTCTTCAGCATTATCAAAAGACTGGGCATTCGATTCTCAGTCAGGTTATCAGAGAGACCTGAGAGGTACAGGGAGGGATAGGAAGGAGGGTTTGGTTTATGTGGTGTCGTGACAGAAAGGGGTTCAATGTCCCAATCTGTTTTGTCCAGGGGACTACATCTTGCCCCAGAAGCTGTTGTCTGACTTTAGCCGAGTGGCCCCTCTGACATTCCTCCCCCCTTCTCCCCAGCCTCACAGATCTGATGATGGGGTGCAGCCCTGTGTTTGCCATGCAGCAGATGGGAGGTGCGCCCCACACACTGGCACGGAGACGCCTCCTTGGAAGGGATCTGTTTCCGATCAGGAGTCTATGCAGCTCCAGCTCCAGCCAGCCGGGAGAGAAGCGATCTGAAGAGGTAGCCCTCCGGCTGTCTCATCGCCTGCCAGCACTAGGCAAGGCCCTGGGGCACAGCATTCAGCAAAAAGCAGCCTCCACTGCCAAGACGTGGTGGGACAGATACGAAGAGTTTGTTGGACTCAATGAGGTTCGAGACGCCCAGGGAAACGTGACTGAGGTGAGAATCAGAACTAAGATGCTTGTCCGGCTCTCTTGACTTGGGAAATGTGGCCTGCTGGCCCCCAGGAAACACGTCACCAGCTGTGTAGTGCTGGGAAGCCACGTTCAGATTTGCTTCTTTCTCTTCTCCCTCCCCTCCCCACCTTCCCGGGCTCACCCTCCCTCCCCTCCCCTCCCCTCCTTTGTTTCTTTCTCTTTTTCTTTCTTCCTGGCCTTGAACTTCAGTCCTCAGATCTCAGCCTCCCGAGTGGCTAGGGTGACAGGCGTGAGCCACGGCCTTAGTTAGCCGTGCTGTTGCTGGTGGTATCACCAGGCCTTGCTGTGGCTTGGGAATAGTGAATACAGATTATGCTCATTGTTAGGCTGTGTGCAAGTTTCTCAGGGGCGTGTTATTTCCGCCTGAGTGGATAAATTCCACGGCTTCAGACAGGGTGTGGCCTGGGGCTGCATTTTAACCACCACTGAGTAAACCCGGATTAACTGCCCAAGGACTGGTTCTACCTTTGCAGCTAACACCCCAATGGGGCCCGCCTTTTGTTTTTGCTGGGGGAGGTGGCTGGGCCTGGGCACTGTCCCTGAGCTTTTGTGCTCAAGGCTAGTGCTCTACTACTTGCACCAGAGCACCACTTCTGGCTTTTTGTGGTTCACTGGAGTTCAGTCTCATTGCACTTTGCTTCCCCCAGGCTGGCTTTGAAGCCCTGATCCTCAGATCTCAGCCTCCTAAGTAGCTAGGATGACAGGCGTGAGCCACCAGCTACCCAGTTCCAGCACCCTCTTCTTAGCCATGAAGCGGAGCCTGTGTAGGTGTGGGGAAAAGGAGCTGATGGTGTCTGCTCTCCTCTCTCCAGGCAGAAAAGGTGTTCATGGTGGCTCGAGGCCTTGTCCGGGAGGCTCGAGAGGCTTTAGAGGTTCAGCAGGCCAAGCTGAAAGAGGTGAGGGCCCGCTTGGACCGCGTCTCCAGAGAGGACAGCCAGTACCTGGAGCTAGCCACCCTGGAACACAGGATGCTACAGGTAGGTCTTCCTCGCCCTGGCATACTGGAGGAGGGCTGGCTGGAAACCCTGACTGTCTCGTGGGACAAGAGGTCTGGAGACCAGGTAGCCTGGAAGGCAAAGCCAGGGCTCCACTCTTCACAAGTCTGTCCACCTGCTTTTTCCTGAAGGCTGGAGTGGACAGGCCAACGCAGTCCTCCATGGAAGGAGTGCTAGGTTCTTTCTTTTCCTTCCTTCCTTCTCCTTTCTTCCCGTCTTCCCTCCCTTCCCCTCCTCCCCGGCTCCCATCTTTCTGTGTGTGGATGGTGAGGCTTGAACTCAGGGCCTAGGCACTGTCCCTGAGTTGTTTTTTTTTTTTTTTTACTAGCCTTCTACCACATGAGTCACTGCTCCACTTCTGGCTTTTTTGTTTGCTTGTTTATTTTTGCTTTTGTTTTTTGGCCAGTCCTGGGGCTTGAACTCAGGACCCTGACACTGTCCCTGAGCTGCTTCTGCTCAAGGTTCGCACTCTACCACTTGAACCACAGCGCCACTTCTGGCTTTTTTTTGTGTATGTGGTACTGAGGAATGGAACCCAGGTCTTCATGCATGCTAGGCAA